TCTTCATCTTGACACTGGCGTCTTTACTTATCTAGACACGTCACATTCTTTGAACAACATTTTCTCTTCAAAACACTTAACTCCCCCACTGTTAAACCGCCTCACCTTCCTGGTGGAACACTCTCTGTGCCTTCTACTAACCATCCTCTACTTCTGGTGCCCAGTCCATCAACTTCCACAATGAGCCAATCTTCTCAAGACAACCGTTCTCATCAAATAATAACCAACTCAACCTCTACCTAGGCTGCTTCTTCATTTGCATTACCACCTCCTCCACATGAACCTATTCCCTCTGAATTTCCCTCCCGTCACCACATGTTAACTCAGCAAAAGACGGGTCACTTAAAGCCAAAACAAATTTTCAATTTACTCAATGTCTCGGTACCTTCCTCTTCAACCTCTTTCACGGAAGCTAGCAAGCACTTACCCTAGCGACAGGCTATGTCCACTGAATTTCAGGCTCTACTCCAACAAGGCACTTGGACACTTGTTGATCCCAAACCAAACCAAAATGTACTTGCTTGTAATGGTTGTTAAAACCAAATTGAATCCTTATGGCTCCATCTCTCGGTATAAGGCTCGACTTGTAGCACAGGGGTTTAAACAACAGTTTGGCATTGATTAGACTGATACATTTAGCATAGTGGATAAATTCCCCACCATCCACCTATTGCTTATTATTGCTACAACTCATGGATGGCTGACCTACCACTTAGATGAATCCAATGCGTTTTTACATGGCAAATTAGATGAGAACGTTTTTATGAAACAACCACAGGGATTTCAAGATCCACAGCATCCCACACATGTCTGTCAACTGCATAAAGCCATTTATGGTCTTAAGCAATCTCCGAGGCGATGGTTTACAACCTTCTCGACTGCCCTCCTAAACTATGGTTTTACACCCAGCACAAATGATCCATCTCTGTTGATGTTTAATCACGGAAATGACCACATGTGTTTGTTGGTATATGTAGATGATGTGTTACTTACTGGAGATAATCCCACAGCCATTAAAACGCTATTGTCTTGGCTCCATTCCTGCTTTCACATGAGGAATCTTGGCCCTGTTCAACATTTTCTCGGCATACAAATTTCATATCACAAGCCAGCTATTCATCTATGCCAATCCCGGTATATTGCAGAAGTGCTTAATAAAGCCGGTATGCTTCACTGTAAACCAGCTTTAAGCCCCCTACCTATCAAACTGCAATCTTCTGACGATACATCGCCTGTATTTCCTCAAGCCAACTTGTACAAACAGGTTATGGACTCCCTTCAGTACATCAAACTTACTCGTCGAGATGTTGCATTTGCTGTGAATTACCTCTATCAACATATGCACAAACCATATCAAATACACTACCAATATCTCAAGAGAGTCCTTTGGTATCTTAGTGGTACAATTGAGTATGTTCTGCCGATTACAGCATCCGAACTACAGCTTCAAGCAATTGCTGATTCGGACTGGGCAGCTAATCCTACTAATCGAAGATCCATTTCTAGTTTCTGTGTATTTCTCAGAACAAATCTACTTTCTTGGTGTGTTAAGAAGCAGCCTACTGTTGCACGGTCCTCAATAGAGGCTGAATACCATGCTCTAGCGGCTGCGGCTGCAGACGTAGTATGGCTTCAACGATTGCTTGCTGACTTTCATGTCTCTTCGTCATCTCCAACACCTATTCATTGTGATTATGTTTTGGCTCTAGCATTGGCCAACAACCCAGTATTTCATGCTCACACCAAGCACATTGAGGTTGATTATCACTTCATTCATGATTGTATACAGGCTCAACACACCTTTGTCCATCACATTTCTACTACCTATCAAACAGCAGATATTTTTACTAAACCTCTGTCCTACAAGAGGTTCCAGTCTCTGTGCTCCAAGCTGACAATTTTTACAACATCGTCATCTTGACGGGGGGGATTAGCACTACTTATGGGGGGGGGGGGGGGGGTATTAGCATTACTGCCTCACTTCCCTGCTCCATTTCTCCTGTCTTTAACAAACTTGTGTACGACACTATTGTGAGCCATTGATGGTCTGCAGATAATCTGGACCATCAAATATATTCGCCTCTTTATATTATAAATGAGAATGAACAGGACGAGAGCAGGTAAGCCCTAGCAGCATAAGATTTCTTCCATCTGTTTGCTTTGATTCTTTGTGCAGGTCTCAAGGAGAAGACAGTCAGCATCTTCATATATATCTTTCCCCTCCTTAGAATCTAATATGTTATATAACTCATTAAAAGCTAAGAATTTTTCATCACATAATGCTTTTTAGATTTCTTACGTGACTCTTTATATCTTCCAAATTAACAAGATTTTTACATCTAAACCAATTTTTATATCAAATCTTCTTATTTTGTATATTTTCTTGTACATTTGAAATCCACCACTAACTATTTTTACTATTAGTGTTTTTCCCTTTGATACTCTAAGCATATCTTTTGTAATATTTTTAATATCACTAGTCATTTTTTCACATAATATTAGCATCCTCATACACAGACAAAATCTTAAGATTTAAAATCTTACTCTAAAAAATATTTTGTTAATATTATTTAAATGTCCACATCTAATCCTAGAATATTGCTTTAACTTATTTTTTTTAGCCCCTTTATCTTAAAGTCCAAAATTAATAAGCAATGTTGGATATATAAACTTTCACTCGAAATAACTTTACAATCTTTGCAATATAAACGAACTAATTTTATTATAAGAAAATAATTAATCTAAGATTTATTATATCCATTCTTATAAGAGATGAGATGCTCATCTCTTTTCTTATAAGTGATGAGGTTCTTATCTTTCTGAGTAGTGGATAAATAAATAAAAAACTTTTATTTGATTTATCCACTACTCAAAAAAGAAAATTTGAACATTATGCCAAATAATAATTTTTGGATGAACCATACTTTCTTAGAGCTTATAATGAATCATTAGAAGATGTGTCCCTGAAGAAAAAGTAAAGCTTATAATTAGGGAATGTCATGAGTCATATTATGGAGGACATTTTAGAGGATTTATAACTGTTTCTAAGATTCTCCAATCAGATTTCATTGTCTTACATTATTTAAGGATGTTACTAAATATGTTAGGAAGTAAGTGTGATTAATGTCAAAGAGTAAGCAATATTTCTAGAAGAAATGAAATTCCCTTGAATTATGTTTTGGAAATTAAGTTGTTTGAAGTTTGGAGATTAGATTTTATGGGACCATTTGTGTAATCCAATGGGTGCCACTATATTCATATTATTATTGACTGTGTCAAGATAAATTGAAGGAGTGGAAACCCTTAGAACTAATGCTCATGTTATGCTTAAATTTAAGATAATAGAATATATTCTCTAGATTTTAAATGTCTAGAGTATTAGCTATTGATGGGGGAAGTCAGTTCTATAATAAGAGAGTAGAAATAATATTTGGAAAATATGATATTCACATTGGGTTACAACAGCTTATCATCCCCAAACTAGTGGCTAAGCTAAAATAAGCAATAGGGAGATTTAGAGAATTTTGTAGAAAATGGTCAGTACTAATATGAAAGACTAGGCTATTAAGTTTGATGATGCACTTTGGGCATATAAGACTACTTTTAAGACCCCTATTGGAATGTCTCCCTACAGATAAGTATTTATAAAGTTTGCCAACTCCCTATACAATTAGAACAAAGGATTTTTGGCCCGTAAAAGAATAAAATTTCAATCTTAAGGGAGTGGAAGAAAAAATATTAATACACTTGAATGAATTAAAAGAATTTAAAAATGAGGCTTGTGAAAATGTTAAAATCAATAAAGTTAAAATTAAAAAATGGCATGATCATATGCTTCTTAAGAAATAATCCACCCCTAGACAAGAGGTTTTTCTGTTTAATTCTAGATTAAATTTATTTTCAGGAAAATTAGAGTTATGGTAATCAAGACTATTCAGTGTTATAAAAGTATTTTCCTATGTAGCTGTTGAAATTTAGGATAAGAAAAGCTTGCACATTTTTAAAATCAACGGCCATAGATTTAAGCCTTATATAAGAAGGGATATTAATGGTATAAGAAATAGCATTAATTTGGTTCATCCTCAAAAAAGAATAATTGGTATGATCTGATTAAAGATCATAAATTTAGCCATGATGGGAGGCAACCCAATTGTGTTATTTATTTGCTTTTTTTAATAGAATTTGTTGTTTGTATTTGATTATAGATTCTATTTAGATATGCTTAAATTATTTTGTTCTATTATTTAAATTTTGAAATATTCTTCTATGCTTAATTGTTGAGTATTAACCTTTATATAGTGCTTGTATTTTGATTGTTTATTTAGCCAAATAAAAATAATAATAATAATTTATTTAAAATTAATATAATAATAAAACCCTAAATAATAATTTGAATTAATAATGCAAAATAATTCATAATTTAAACAGGTTAATAATTAACTAATATAGATCGCTAAGTTATTGACTTATTTTGAATTTAAAACTTAGACAATAATGCATTGACTTTTGAATTGAAGAATGAGTGATTGGGTTTAGTAAAAAGAAGTGAGTAGCTTAAATTAGAAAGTTTAAAGTAAGTCTAAATATAGAAGTAGTGATTTTTTTTTTTTTAAATAAAACTAATCAAGCAGCAACAAGTCCGAAATCTCAAACAAAGGCCACCATTTTCCGACCAAAATGAGAGAATATAAATAGAAATGAGAAATTGAGACTCACAAAATGACGACTTGCGCACAAAAGAAGGCGCCGTACATAATCATTTCTTTATTAGTTAGCTTGCAGATAACTGTTAAATTTCATAGGGATAATAACAAATTAGGCCATTATTCTGCAATCATTATTCTCTAGCTCTAACGGGAAAAAAAACATAAATGAAATGAAATTATGTAAAAGAAGAAACAGTGGAAACTCTTTGCATGCCAGAAAACGATGAGGTACGTAGATGCAATGCAACAGTTGGTGCCTAAATAAAACGCACCACTCACTGTCACTGCTATACTTCAACCATGAAGAATCTTCTTGGGATCCAATTCCCCACTGCAGTAGCTAGACGGAACACAAGAGATAACCAGACTGCCTGTCCATTCTTCGCCTGGTTTCAGTTTAAGAGGTTCCTCAATTACAGCCGGCGCCACGCACAGCATACGCTTGTATTCATCGTCGCCAAAATCCGCAATGGCTTTGGCTTTCTTGTCCCAAGGATTCCAAACAACCGCATCTGGCATTCCCTCTTTCCACAGAACATAAGTTCTCCTCTTTTCATGATCTATTATTGCAATCTTGTTAGGCGTACCAACGTAACTCCTGTCAATTTCTGATTCAAATGTAAGAGAATCTCCCTGATCTGTAAAACGCTCCTTATTCTTCAAATTGTCGAGATAATAATATGTCTCCAACCCCTCAACCCGCACTTCACAAATATCAGAAACAGAGAAGTACGCATAGAACGCAAATGTAAATGTAAATGGCTTTCCATTTCTATTGATATTTCTTATGCGTGATACAAGTATAAGATCCCCTCTAGGTGTCAGAGCAACCCTCAGTCGGAACTCATAAGTCTGTGGCCAATATTTGTAGAAACCTTCAGGTGGCTTAAGAACTAAATCAATAAAAGTCCTATAACTGCTTTCTTCCAAAGGTGGTGGAGTTTGATCAATAGCCCAAAATAGTTTCCTCACAAAACCATGGTTTTCATAGTTTTCAAGTCCTCCGACTTGTGGAAAACATATAGGAATGCCGCCCCGTATTCTATTTGGAGGTTCGAATAAAGACTTTCTACTGAGAAAAAGAAGCTCTTCACCGCGATCATTTTTCCATGATGTAACATGTCCACCATATAGATAAACCTCGACGGAGCTTCCCCTAGCCTCCTTTAACACGAACTTGTCCAGGCCATTGTTGCCTTTGCATTGCTGAATGTATGGCTTCGCCACTGCCATCTCTCAAACAAATTTCGTCGATATTTCCCCACTTCCTTCGACGTAATTGCCAATCTCTATTTCTCACCTTTCTTAGTTCCGGTCACAGCACCAGTTAAGCCGCGGAAAAAAAACTAAAAGATATGAGCTGAGAAAGGCCTTTATTTATATAGATGACGCGCACATCGGCGAGGGAAATGCTCCTCCCTCTGCGTAGGTCCAGGACCGTTACGAGTAGCTAATCTCGTGGAATTAGTAATCTTATTAAACCCTAATATAAAATTAATTAGGGTTACTTAAAAATGAAAGCAAAAATGATATTCAAAATTATTAATTATGTACTGAACTAAAAAAAAATATTAAAAACTATATAAAAATTTTGAAAAAAGTGAAAGATGTGTACATCCAAAAATTGGTATTAGATGATGCTCATGCTAATAAGCATCCTAATACTTTAATTCAAATAGGGTAACGTGAGTGAACTAATGCATATGATAGTTCACTAACAAATTTCCAATTTAACTACAAGCATAACTAATCCCTAAATAATATATTATTCATTTCGAATATCAGAATTCAATCTTACACATACACTCATAGTGTATAAGTTCAATATAAGCAATAACAAGCTGGATGATTGATTGGAATAATTATTAAGACATTTCAAATTAGAATTAGAATTTTGATCATTCCAAATTAATTTTAGACTGTGATGTATTATCTTATATTTTAGTACTTTTAAATTATCAATTTTTTCTTTAACTATTAAGTTAATTTATAGATGATTTGTTATTACTTGGGAATAAGTAAGAACTTAAGCCTATGAAAATTTATTAAGTGTAAATTATGTACTATTTATTGTGTTAAAATTTAGTGAAAAATGAGTTATTTTAGTTATGTTTCTACAGGAAATGTTAGGACAAGGAAAAATTCACAAATGTTGAATGAGCGATGTAGCACCCACGGATTTTATGTCGCAGCAAAATCTTGTTTAACACCCCAGAGCTTTATCCAAACATTATAGTTCCAGCCCCTTGGGAATTTAAGGAACAAATTAGCACCCCGATGGATCCAAAGTGAACATCGCAGTGCTCCATAGAGTCATATCATTAGAAATCCAAGCTGCAACACTTTAGTCTCATGAATTTGAATGTTGCACCACCGATCAACATAATTTTGCAGTGCAAGATTGCACATTCAAGCACCATATAGCTCTCAACATTTATAACATTGCGGTGGAGAACTAATCAAAATAAAGAGTCGTGCCGACTTAGCAAAAGATGAATCGATTCAACCATTAACGGTACCATGTCAACACAACACCACAATGAAGCAAGTTTTACAGCACTGAGATGCTAATTCTTTTTATAACGCCGCAATGCCTATATTCTGAGTGTCGTGGCACCTAAGGCCACTTTTTTGCACTTGTTACAAAATAGGTTTTTAGTTCTTTTATTTTAAGGAGAATTAGTGCTGATGGATTTCTATCATCCTTAGTGGAGTTTTATACTATTGAGTGTCTTTCTCTAATTCTACCTTAAGGTAAAACCTAAGGAACACTAAGGAATGTCAAGATACTTGTAGTTGGATATCTTAGCCTAAAATTTATAAGAATATCATTTTGTTGGAGGAAAGAGTGTGAAGAATATCTATTGATCCTTCCTAGTGACATTTCTCCTCATCTTATATGAATGAAATGAACATAAGTTTGCTTTATCCATATATGGCTAAATTTTTTAGTTTTGAGTTGATGATGTAATTACATAGAAAGTACTAATATAGGCTTGTGCCTTAAAATAGATTACATATATTTTTAATATATATTGTTCTTAATTTAATGTATATAATGGCCATATGTATAGTTAACATATATTGTGATATATTGCCTTAATGGAGTAAGATTGGAACAAATAGTAGAATTGAAATAGAAGATTGACATATATGGACATATGATGTTTAATTTTTTCGGTTATATGGAGACATTATAATTATATGAAGGTCATAAACCTCCTTTTCTATCCCTATAAGCTTAATAGAGATCTAGATATGCATATTCTCTTATCCAAATCTAAAAATAAGAGTTTCATTTTCAAAATTATGTTGTATTCACTACAGGAAAACATAATTTTCCATCGTTCATTTTCGTCGAAAAATGGCTAAAAACCATCGAAAATGAGCATTTCCGGCGAAAATTATTCTGATGGTGAAATGCTAGTCGAAAAAGCCTTTCCGGCGTTAAATAATTCGCCGGAAATATTTTCGGGAGATTTCTGGCAAAAAATTATGTTTGCACCGGAATAAAAGAAAAAAAATAAAAAAATTTCAATATTAGCAACCCGCCCCACCCACCTCAACCCGCCCTCCCTCTAGCTAACCCGAAAAGTCCCACCGAGCCAACCCGAGCGCCCAACAAGCAACCCACCCCACCTCTAGCTAACCCGAAATGCCTGCCCAAACAACCCAGCCTGCCTGGCCTGCCCAGCCAACGATCCATGCATGCTAGTGCCTGCGGCGGGGTTCGAACCCCCGCCACTTGATGAAAATTTTGCCCCAAACAAAATAATTAATATAAAAATATTAATATAACATAATTTTAATTACAACATAATTAAAAATATATATTATTATATTATAATTATAACATAATTTATAATAATATCTAATTAATTACAACATATCAAATAATTTAATAATTTTATAATATCTAATAATTTATAAAAATATCTAATTAATTACAACATAATTATAATAATATCTTATTAATTACATTATTATTATTATTATTATTATTATTATTATTATTATTATTATTATTATTATTATTATTATTATTATTATTATTATTATTATTATTATTATTATTATTATTATTATTATTATTATTATTATTATTATTATTATTATTATTATTATTATTATTATTATTATTATTATTATTATTATTATTATTATTATTATTATTATTATTATGTATAAGAAAACCTCAGCATATTTATGTTACAGCACACATGAGACCAAAACAAATAAGCCCCCATCAAAAGTCTGTGAAAATAGTTAGTCGACTGTGGAAGGCTACAAGGGCCATATTGGGGTTGATGGTGGAAGTGCTTTTGGATGTTTCTTTTTTCATGTTAATTTCCTCTTTGCACAACAGAGAGTAGAGGTTATCCAAGCTGATGGGAGTAAGAGTAGCACAGATGGCTATCTTGAAGGCTTGATAAGTGGAGGGTAGACCATTTAGATATAAAGATTGATGCCTTCATGATCCATGGTGGAACCATTAGCTAATATATTATCAAAAAGGGATTAGATATGAGAGAGGTGTTAGGTCATTGATAGATCTTTCATGGTGACATTATGAAGCTCATTCTTAAGTTGAATAACTCTAGAATGATTGGTGGGTTAAAGTCATTTTTTAAGGGTGAACTATATTTCATGGCATGTTGAGAGATTAATAATTTTAGGAAGTATAAACGAGGATATAGTAGATTAGAAAGAAATGAAAATGTATTGGTTAAGAAGGTACTAGGTATTAAATGGGGGATTTTAAGTGAGCTCACCAGAGACTAGGAAAAGCTACTTATGTGGACATTGAATGGTGCCTATGAGGTAACCAACGAAGTTATTAGAGGATAATAGTTTCAAAATCTATATATACTAGATGGGATTATTTTTAGTTGTGAGTTGAGTATGAACGACGTGTTTTATATTAGATATTAAAGATTTCAGAGAAGGTAGAATGGAGGATTATGTGGGGGGCATTTGAGAAAATTGGAGTGGATGGCAGTAGAGGGGTAATAGTGCTGCTAAGCAGTGGATTTAATACCATTAAGGAAAAGCTAGAGCAGATATTACTCAATCTCTTCAAGTAGAGCTACATATAAGAGTTTTATCTTAAAAGTAGAAAAAGAGAAGGCTGAAGAGAATAACAAGAAAAAGTAAAGATAACCAAACACTATTCATTTCCTATCTTCAAGCCATGTTACACCAACCTAGAGGTGTATAAATACAAGGGTATTATAATATCATAAACTATTAACTATTAAGATATTGTCTACTTTGGCCTAAGGGCCTCACAATTTTATACTAACCCATCTCAGGATTTCTCTTGGATGAGCACTCTTAAATGTAAAGTTTCTTAATGAAATTCCAACCATTGCACCAAAATGAAATTTCTAATTCGATGTTTAAGAGTTTAACTTCTTTTACGTAAATGGTTTCATAATCTCTCCCACTTAAGTAATTGACATTCTCGTCATCATATTTATCCTTGAATCATCCACGAGGCATATAAGATTCTAGCGTTGGCAACTACTAGTTTAAGTGGTAACTCCTCCCACGTATCACTTAGTTTCATATAGGGTTCAAGAGGTGGCTCCCATGGCATAACACTTCATCTTTTATGGTACTTAGTTCTCATCTTCCAGTTGGTGTATTATTCTAATACTAATTTGTAATAGCCCAAACTCTTAACTATTAATATATTGTCCTCTTTGGCCTAAGGGCCTCACAATTTATCCTATTGGTATAACTTCCCTAGAAGTCACCCATCTCAAGATTTATTTGAGATTATAATGCTTAACTATGGAGTTTCTTAATGAAATTCTAACAATTACACCAAAAGGTGCTTCAATGTTTAAGTGATTACGGTTTTTACTTAAGTGGTTTCACATGTATGATGTATGCAAATCTACAAACTGCAGAAATTAGTTAGAGATTAAGGGCTGACATAAAGTGTTTGTTATAGCTATGCATATAGGATTTAATCTAAAAAATTTGTCCATAAATGGGGGCTTGATTATCATTATTAGTTATCACCACCAGCCATCAAAAGAGATGCAGCTAAAGGAGCTGAGTAAGATTTTATGGGTATAGTAACTCTTTCAAGAAATCAAGGTAATTATCAATCATTTCTACTTTTTTCTTTGATCGTTTTTTTTTTTTTTTGGCCTAATGTTGAAGAAGCTTCAATGAGAGGGATAGAGTTTGAAAAGCATATTTGGTGAAAATACTCCATTAGC